AATAAAACATAATTTGAAGAATCATGCAATGCATATGGTAGACTATTATAAATATTTGGACCAGTGAATATGAAAGAAGACTGAGTAGTTGATTTACATACATTAGGGCCTAGGGGTAATAATATTATACAATTCACTTSAGATGTTAAAATTATGGGAAATAGAAAATAAGTATAATTTGGTCATTTTTTAATAAGAAAGTAACAATTGTTGTATGAAAAAGTATTTTTACTGTTGGAAAATTTAGTTCCTTTTACAAGTTATTGTAAAGTTTCTGGTTTCATTTAAGATTATTTACAGAATATTATTTTGAGTTAATTATAGTTTATTAAAATTGGTTTTATTTGCTGAACTCCATGCAATTATGCCATAGGTTAATGTTGATTCTACAAGTGCCTTGTATACGGTTAAAAGCTATATTATAARCTAAAATGTTTAAAGGCAAAATTGTTCTCATATTTTAGTGACAATCAAGTTGAAGATTAACTTAAATTCAAGTTGATTTAGTTTTAAGAATACTCATGAAAATGATTGGAATTAAGATTTAGATAACATTTATTTTTACCAAATACTTTAAATTAATTAATACCATATCTTAAAAGATAACCATCATGTTTTCACAATTTTCTTAAAAGCTAACAATGGAAAATAATAAATTTTGGAGGAGAATCTTAAATACTTAAAATAATAAAGAACTCATTACCTTAAGTTTTAACTGTGGAATTTCTTGAAGTTGAACTTCTAATAAAACATTTTTTTGTTTTATTTCATCTAAATGTTCATTTAATGTGGTGTTTTCACTTTCTAATAATTGTAGTTGCTAAAAAAAAAAAATGCATTTCAATAATTACCAATTAATTGTCTATATTCTATTCTAAACATACTTTTTTGTTGCATAAAAGTTCAGAATGTAATTTGTTTTTAGAATTTTGTACTTGTTGTAGTTTATCACCGAGCAAAATGTTTTGGTTAAGTAATTGATCTTTTTCTGAAACCCATTGATCAAGGAGTGTTTTTCTTTCTTCATAATGTTTATGTTCCACAGCACTAAATTATACAACATTTCTAGATTAGAATGTTTGTTTATTATGTTTGATATATCTAAAGACTTTACTCTTACACAATTTTATTTGCTGATGATTTTTCTAATTTCATAAGATTTTCATCAACTTCTTGTGCAAGCATTAATGCTCTATTGTTAGCACTTTCAACATCAGACTTTAATTTATCTCTTTCACAACTCATTTGCTCAATAATCATTCTGAAAAAAAAAAATTGTATCATTAAAGTGAAAATTTATTTAAAAAGTGTTATTAAAGTAATTAAGTTCTTACTTGAGCCATTTAACCTGATACTCATTCAACGAGCTTTGAGCTATTATCAAAACAAATGGTGTATTAATGAAATCATACTCTGTTRATGAATAATCAACAAAATTATTTCGAACTTTATAGAGTTGATTGCTGATAGTAGTCACTAAATCAGGTATATAAACAGAATCCTGGGATGTATCAACCCCAAGTTCTTGTAACAAGTTAACAGATTCTGGAATACCGTAGCTTTCCCATAGTTCAATAATAGTGTTTACACTAACCATCCTATTAAAAATCATRAAATATATCAATATCAATAGACAATACAAGCAATACATTAGAATAAATATGAACAAGACTTACATAATTGATAAATTGAGTGAGTTTGGTAAATTATCTTCTCTATGACAGCATAAATCTCCTATTGTTGATTGAAGCAGGCCGGTTATCTTGACTATTGATTAATTTATCATTAGTCGACTC